GGGCGGGAGGGGGCCGGGCTGTCCTTGCTACCCTCCGGGGCCGCCATCCGCCGCTCCGGGAGTCCCGCAGCCCCGGGAATCTCAACCAGGAGGGCGGGCGGAGGGGCCTGCTCCCTGCCCGGTGTGCCCTGTTGCTGCAGCTCTGCTTGGCTCCTGGCCACACCTCCCTTGGGAGCCGCTCCAAGGGCTCCCTGGGGCYGGAGGGGAGATGGGGCCGTGGCCAGGCGAGGACCCTGCCAGGCCTGCCAGCAGGACCTGCTGTTTGGATCCAAGGCCCTGGTGCTCCAAAGCCACAGGCTTGGTGGCCTYGGGCACCAGAGCAGGCATGGGAGCCGATATCCAGTGAGTCGGCAATGGGTGCTTGCAGCTTGGCCGCTCCGGACATCCCTCTCTGTCCGTTGGGAAGGGGCAGGGGAGCATCGAACCCCTGAGGGACCCTCYTCACAGTGCGCAGATGAGAGGCCTCCGACAGTCTGTGGCTTTTGGTAGCGCCAGGGGATGGGGGGGTCCTCCTGGAGCAGAGCGGTGAGCGGGGCGGCGGGGATGGCGCCGCACGCGTCACACAGCTCGGGGCTCGGCTGCGTGGCYGGCCCTGCCCCTGCAGCACGGGGCYGCTGCCCGCGGCCGCCCTCTGTCCCCAACGGCACCCAGGGCTGGGTGTCCCCCCCTCCTCTGGCCTTGCCTGCGCGGACCCGAAAGCTCACTCGGGTGCCTCCCGGCTCTCGAGGTGCTTGTTTGGGCTGCCTGAACTGGCCCGGGTGGAAGCTCTAACGGGCCCTGCTCCCCCAGCCCTCAGGCACATGGGCAGTGACCAAAGTGGCCTCAGGGCATCCTGAGTGGTCCAGCAGCCCTGCTTGCTGCCCCTGGTAGCCGCATGGCTAGAAACTGCAGGGCTGGGGAGGGAGCTGCTGAGCCTTGCTGAGCTGGGCTGCAGAGTTGAGAGCACCGCGCGGCCGGGGCTCCTGCGGCCATCCCGGGGCCAGTCAGTGCCACAGGGCCGGGGCTCCTGCGCCATGCTGGGCCGGTCAGTGCCGCGGGGCAGCGGCCACCGTGCCCGGCCCCACCGAGCTCCCTGGCCCCGGGAGCTCCCGTGTCCGCAGGGGCTGTGGGCCGGGCCGGGGAAGAGGCCGCGGCAGGGGAAGGGTTAAGGCGCCGCGCGGCCACAGAGCCCAGCAGGGCTTTGTGCACCAGCCTCCCTCGCTGCCATTGATGTGCAAAGGCCTTTAATCCGCCCCCCACCGCTGGAGGAGGCGGCGGCTGGGACGCCGGGAAAAGTTGAGCGCCAGATCTGAGAAAACATCCGCCTCCCCCGGGAGCCGCGCGCAGCGCCGCCCTCGCCGTCCGCCCGGCTGCYGCCCCGTGCGGGGCCCGGCCGTGGAGGCCGCGCAGGAGGACCCCAGCCCTGAGCCTCGTGGAGGAGGCCCCCAGCCCTGAGCCTTGCGCGGGAGGCACCTGCGCGGCTCCCCGCTGCCGTGGGAGCCCAGGCGGCTGCTGGAACGGAGCATTCAACCAGGCAGCAATTTGGTCTCCAGGCTGGGCCCCACATGCCCAGGGTGGCCCCTCAGCTCTTGCCAGGTGACACAAGTGTCCTCTGCAGAGAGGACAAATGGTGCTGGGCATTTACCTTGCCCTGGCGGGGTGTGTGCCTGGGTATGGGCACCCTCTCACCCACGGAAGGGGCTGCTGGAGTCACCCAGCTCCCTGTCCCCGTGACAGCATGGTGGGTGTCAGGACAGGGTCTTTGCTCGTGGGTGGCTTTTGGAGCCAGGGCCACCTTCCCACCCAGCAGTGCCCACTTGCCCAACGTGTCCGCTGTCTGGTGCAGCAGAGTGTGACTCTGCTCCAGGACTGGCCTTGGTGGCCACACAAGGACGGGGGGGCCGTGTGGCCAGGCCCCCTGCTCCGGGCTTGGGCTTGCAGGGAGCCGCTGGGGGCTCCTCCTGGCAGGCCCCAGCCAGGTTATTTGGGCAGATAAACGGGGCTTGACCTGGGCAGGAGAGTCAACACCGGCTCCAAGGACAGGCTCCAAAGTTCAGTGCAAGGGGACGGACCATCCCGGAAGGTCTGCGTGGCAGGAGGCAGGGGGACATACCACAGAGGGCACAGCGTGGAGGACACCCTCTAATCATGTTTGCAACGGCCCAATGCCCCTCCGGAGCATCAGCCRATTGGGGGTCCCTCTAAGGCACCGCTGGGGCAGCCGGGGTGGAGGTGGCAGCAGCGGTTGTTCTGGAGTCCCGCGGGGACGGGTGTCCTGCCCTTGAGCCCCCCTCGCTGCCGCCCACAAACTGGCTGCCCGGAGCCTTGGTGCAGRTAAGCGGAGCTAAGCAGAGCGCCCGGCCGCGGCTGTGGGCAGCACCAGAACCCGCTGGCATCTCCCGCCCAGCGCTATCAGCGCCGCAGCCCGGCCGGCTCCGCGGGCRGGAGTCGGAGTCGCCGGTGCCACGGGCGCCGCAGCAGCTTCCAGCCCCTCGTGGCTGCTCTTCAGGCGCCAGCAGGCTCTGCCACCAGCGCCCAGCTGCCTTCCTGTGCTTCATGGTGTTGACCTGGGGCCTGGGCCGCCCCTATGCGGAGCCACCCCCAGCCCCGCAGCCCAAATCCACCGCTGATGCTGCCGCCCTGGGCACTACGGGCACAGCGCCATGCGCAGCCCCCGGGCCCASAGCAGCCCTCCTGCCCCTGCCTGCCCTCACCAAGCCTGCCCAGGCCCTGCCTGCCAGGGAACCGGGAGGCTGTTTGTAAAGAGCAAAGAGGCCAGTGAGCAGGCCTTGGTTCAGCCGCAGTGCTGCACACGGGACCGTCACCTGCAGGTTCTGCAGCCCCCGCTTGCCCAGGCAATAAAATCAGTGACCAGGAGGCTGGAAAGAAGACCACAGAGGCTGAACGTGGGCTGAGCTGTGGCTCAGAGTGGATTTGAGCCCTGAGGCTCCACAGGAAAGTCCAGCCTGCAGCTCCCGGCCGGTCACTCCTGCACCGCACTGGAGACCTTCCCCTTGCTGCACAGGCAGAAGATCCCACCAGGTTTTCAGCAGCAGAGGGAAACATATTCTGCTCAGGATGTGCTAAAAATCCCAAATCACCAAGAGCATTAAYTGGCTAGTGTTAAACATGAAGCTGCGAGGAAGCCGAAGGGGGTAGGGTGGGTTCTTGGTGGCTCCTGGTCACCTTCCTCCTCCTCCTCCTCCTCAGGTGGGTTGGAGGGCCAGAACGCAGAGGTGCTGCCAGCACGGGCTGCTCACGGCAGCCTCGCCACGGRAGCAGGCGCAGCTCGGTGCCCCGTTGCCCGCTGCGCCTGTGCGGCCTGGCAGAGCGCAGCGCCCCTGGCGCCCCGCGGCCCTGCGCAGCAGCGCCTGCTTATAGGCCTGGCACAGGACACCGCTGCCACGCGGGCGCTGCTATAAAAAGCACATCTCAGAAAAGGTCTCGGAGCAGATGCTGCTGTGGAGCCTCCACGCTGAAGGTCGGAAACATCCCAGCCTGAATCACGCTCCGATTCAGCCAGGTCCCCTTGCGTGCCCAGTGAGTGCTCAGTTGTGGCAAGCGGACAAGGCCATACAGGGAGAAGGGRCGTTTGTCCAAGGTGCTTCAAGGGCTGTGACACCATCACAGYGCTGGCACCACGCACAGCAGGCATGGAGCCCAGCGAACACCCTGGCTCCATCCTGCCACCGTGCAGGCAGTGAAGTGTTGCCCTGTTACACAGAGATCTTCATCACAGGAGGCCAACGCAGTCAGACGCTGCCAGGCAGAGCTGGACCCCTGGGACACGGGCACCTCGGGTGGACTCCAGGGGCACTGCCCAGCTCGGGGACTGCAGCCACCTGGGAAGGCACCACATTCCTGGCAAGGTTACAACTGCACACATAAAACTTTGACCAACAATAGGTCAGTGCCACCAGTGATGGGCTGCACATCACATCAGTCTGTTGCTCCCAAACGGGTGCCRCCCCGGCCTGGCTGTGGAGCTCCGCGTGTGGGTGTCCCGGCTACACCGAGGCAGACGGGCAGTTTAGGAGCCGGGCTCTTTGGAGACGCGGCAGCACCAGCCCTTGCTGCCCTCTGAACTGCATCAAGTCTGCGATTGCAAAAATTCCCCCTGGCAAAACCAGGGAGGAAGTCGTGAAGGTCACCCGGCCAAGCGACACTGTGGCAAAAAAGCAGAGAGGCTTCAAGAGCCCCCACCACTCCCCCCATTCCCTCGGGAGGGCAACCCGTGGCGCCATCCTGCAGCCGGGCAGCCGTGTGTGCTGCGAACAGGAGGACAAGTGTCACACTGGTAGCCTGAGCCCGAGGGAGATGATGCCTGGCAGCCGGGAGGACAGAGCTCCCATCCCTGCCGGCACTCGGGCCGACAGAGCTGCTGTCCATGCCGGGAGGACAGAGCTCCCGGTGGTGCCGGCAGCCGCCCGCTCCCCAGGAGACCTTTGCAAAGGGGAAGCGGCTGCAGCCCAGCCCAGCTGGTCGGTGCCACACACAGCAGGACCAGGCGCCGCGGCAGCCGCCCGGGCACAACTTGGCTCCAAGGGGCTTCTCCCCAAGGCACAAGGGGACGGATCCCAGGCTCAGGCCATCCTGTCCACGCTCGGTGGCCCTGTGTCCCCTTGTGTCCCCCGGGTGTCCCTGCCCGCACCCAGCGCGCCAAGGAGCCGCTCTGAGCTGCTTTTACAAACACAGGTACATAACGTTTATTCTTAAGTTTCCAATTTATTACAAGTACAGCCCTTAGCAGAAACCCCCTCCCACCCGCCCCCCCMCAAATGACATATATCTTTAAAAAAAATGTACAGTTCCAAAGGTTTCACCATGTAGGATCTGCAGAAAAAGAATGTTCTAGATTAGGGGGACAAAACAAAGCTGCTGAAGGGGGACGTGCGGAATACAAACGTCAGTGCTGTTCTGTGGGGCAGGGAGGCAGCGGGGGAGAGGGAAGCGGCTGCAAAGCTGCCACGGTCTCTGCAGCCACCAACAGTCCAGAACTGAAACCAACGCCTCCTATCATCAAAGAATTAAAAAGTCCACAAAATTAGGCTGCAATCGATGATTTTCTCTTTTAATTATTATTATTCTTAAATCACAGGAGCTGCAACAGCGGTTTTTGTATTTTTTAGAAAAGCATAATCGTTATGGAACGGCCTTGTTCTCCTCTGGTTCCAAATTAAGGAGCAGTAGAATAAAAAGCTCAAACCCTGATTGTATGATCAAAACCTGTCACGACAGAGAGGGAGAAGTGAATTAAAACCCCTCCTTTTCTTGGAGAGGGGCCAGTGGGCGTCTCGAGCGGCAGAACCCACCACTGCTGTGGGCAGGACGGGGCTTCGCCCGGTCCCGGGGCTTCCCTGCTGGCTCCCGGCGGGACGGAGGAGGGCGAGGGGGGCGGGCGGGGGGTCCCTGCAGGGCGAGGGAAGGGCTGGGCCGGGGGCTCCGGTCGCCACGCGCCCTGCGCGGCGCCGGCGATCGAGCGTCTGAGGGTGTGGGGGACAGGAAGCAACCACGATTGCATAGAAACTGTACATGTGCCACAGCAAGACAACGGTATCTTACAGGTGTTCTTTATACAGGAGCACTGCTAGAAACAAGCCACTTAGAGTAACTAGAAAAATTAATTTAAAAAGTTCCCGGGAGTGCGTTCTGGCTGCTCCCTGCCTCCGCCCAGGCTCCCGCTCGGAGCGGGGAGAGCGCCCGGCCGTCGCTCGGCGCGTGCGGGCACGCGCCCAGCTCGCCCCTCGCCCTGCAGTGCCCACCTGCACACGTGGCTCCCGGAGAGGGCACACGGGGCCGGGCACCTTGGCGCCAGCTGCAGTGCAAGGCTGGTGAAAGCTTTGCCTCCCTCAGTGTAAGTGCTTGCTCGCTCCCCACAGCCCCCTGACACGGGGCTCCAAATAAACACCATATAAATATATACATACAAGAACCAGCAGCCCATGGGCATGCCCAGTCCTTCCGTGCAGCGATGTGATCCCTCCCTGCGCCAGCCCCCGGGCTGGTTCCACATCCCAGGCAGCAGGAAGCGGAGGGCCCGCCGTGCTCCAGTGCGGGCTCGTGGCAGAGGTGGCGCAGGCCGCCCGCCCGCGCTCCCCTCCGGCCCTCCTGGCAGGACAGGCGCGCCAGAGCTTTGCCGGTTTTGCAGGAAGCGGCACGTCGTCTCTGCGCGCTCAACGCATGTACAAATACTTCAGGAAATTGCAGAAAAAATAGAAGTAGGATGGGCCAAAGGCTGGCTTAATAGAGAAGTGCCTGCTGCTTCCTAACTCCCTCCAGACAGCCCATCCTGCCGCCAGCAGCACCAGAAGACCTGCTCCAGCTCTGRCTCTCCCCCTTAACCTCCCCCATCCATCATTTCTTCCTTTTTCGCCCCCGGGAATGTTCAAGGGACTCTGGCTCACTGTCCCCTTCCTGTTCCTCCAGTTCCTGGCACCTGGCAGAGAGTTTCTTGCGTTTCCTGCGTGCATATGTGTGGCCAGGCAGGTGTTTGTGCACCATGTCGATCAAACACTGTTCTGTCTTCTCCAGGCAGGACAGGACGTGACTCCCATTCTGGTTGTAGCGCTCAGCGTTGGTGAACACTTGTTTCATGTCAGAGAGGAACTCCTGCACCGAGCGGTAGTCGCCACAAGAGCACTTGCTCTGCATAGTCTGGAAGTCCATAGGGTTGCTGATGACCTCAAAGTAATCTTCAGCTTCCTCTGTGGTCACTGGCTCCCTGCCAAACGAAGGGCCACAAAGATAGGAGGAAAATGACAGATAGGCCCTGCCGATGACACAGCTGGGATCTGCACAGAGGTGCAGTTACCTCCCCCCTGCCTTTCTGCAGGGGCAGCAGTGCCAGCCTGCACGCCCGGCAGTGCTGTGACACAAGCAAGTCCCCTGGCAGAGCCCTGGATGGGACGAGGCCGGAGGCCGGGCCACCAGCCCAGCTGGCCCCAAGGCCACCGAGCCGGTCCTGCTGCCGAGGCTGGCACGAGCAGCGGCCCGGCCGCCCGGCTCCGACCCACAGGGCGCTCCGCAGGCCCCGTGGCAGCGCTGGCTGCACCCCCCTCTCTGCAGCCCGCGGCCGCCTCGCTGTGGGCTGCCTTCAAAGAGCTCCCCTTGCCGCGCTCAGCAGAGAACTGAGAGCATGGGGGCTCTASCAGCCAGATTTCAGATTTGCTCCCTTCCTTCCCCTCTGTAACCTGCTTTTGAAGCCCAGGTCTCCTGGCCAGCACGTGGATCCAGCAGGCTCCCAGCATGGCCATCCCACGTCCATATCCACCCAGGGACAGCCCAGCACATGCACAGGAGTTCATCTGCCCTCACCTGAAGGGCCAGCTAAAGCGGTACTTGATCAACTTGCTGAGGATTTCCTCGCATTTCTGTAATTCGAGCGTTTGGCGACGTGCTGTCTTTTTCGTTTGAAGGACCTGGCCACGCAAAGGAGAGATGCTGTTAGAAGAAGGGGAGCTGCTATGGGGGCTCTGTGTTCAGCAAAATTTCGATCTGGTTCCTAGCAGGTCTCTTTTGCAATCCTCTCGCTCACAAGCCGGTGTCTCAAGGGGTGGGGAGAAGTAGCACTGCTGCAACAACAAAGTTTAAGTCTTCCAAACACAGCCCTCTTTTCCAGTAATGAAACAGCAAACTGCTGCGTGCCCTTTAATGGCAACAGCCAAGGCACACCGTGGCAGCTTGATTACAGAGCGGGCACCGTTGAGAGGCGCTGGCAGGAGCGGGTTACCTGCAGCGTGACTTTTCTCCGGGGGCAGCAAGCTTTTCCAATGCAGGTTCCAAGGCAGCATGGTGAGAACAAGCAGCCGAACAGTACGTGGCAGCGAGTGTGCCCATTAAGTGACAGCAAGTGGAGGGAGGCCATTGCCTCTCCCTCCTGAGAGCCCCTGGGGATGGCACGCGAGAGGCGGAGGGAGAAGCGCTTATGYTGACATATCAGCACAGCCTGTTTAGCTCCTAAACGCCAACCAGCTGCTGCTGCCTTGAGGGCTGCTGTCCCGGGGAAGCACAAAGCAGAGCACAGGGTCAGCCGTGGGCCTGGGAATCTGCCGCGCACTCCCCGGAGGGGCATCTGGCCATCCTGAGGCACGTCAGCACCCGTGACACGCCAGGGGACAGCAAGGCTCCACACACAAGTCACTGTTCTGGAGCTGGCTCTGTTCTACTTTTGCCCAGAACCAAGGTGGAAGAGCTCTAGCTCTTTCCCATGTTGGTGTTTTGTCAAAGTTCACAAGCCAACTGCTGCAGGAAAACTTGAATACCCCTCTAAGTTGGCTAAGCCCACGCTGGACTTGCTGATGTCGCTTGCCTCCCATCTGTAACACAGAGCAGCTAAAAGGATGCTGCCGAACCACGAAGCAGCCCACACACCCTACACGAGAAGCACGGACATCGGTCAAGGGCAACCAGGAAAAGTGATAGGATTCAGCAGCCGCACTAGCAGTGCTGGCCGGCAGACACATGGCACATCCAGCAGAAGCTTGTGACGTTGCCCASGGGGCTAGAGGATCCTCATGTATCCCCGTGGTGTGTCCCCCTCCAGGACAAGCAGCACAGAGCGCTGCAGCTCCACCCTGCCTAGCAYGCTCGCACAAGATGACTCTGTTCAGAAGCATAAGGTTTTATTCTTTAAATGTCAAGTGAAACCTAAACCAGCTGAATTATGTCCTGGAGATTGAGGAGGGAGCGTACGGACAACAACTGTCAGAGCATGGCCAAGGCTGGGGGGCAGTGCTCCTGCATTGCTGGCATTCCCTGCCCGTCCAGGACCCCCTCAGCGCCCCACTTCTCTGCAGAGACATATGGCTACTATTTAAAACCCTTTAACAAGCTGCAGGCTGCCTGCTAATCAAGCAGGACAATGTGTGAGAGCGGCTGGGGAAGATGCCTCACATAGCTGAGCTCCGTTTGTGCCGGGCCCTTGAAGATCTGCCTCCTTTGTCAGCCGCGCGGCGCGGCCTTCGCGGCACAACGCGGGGCATCTCCCGGGCCACCTGTTCCGTCTCTAACTCACGACRTGAGCGGGCGGCCTCCGGGGAGCAGTGGGGCTCTTACCAGCTCGTCGATGTCCGCGCCGTTGAGCGGTGTGGCGCGCGGCCGGGGCGCCCGSGCAGAGTGCAGCGCCTGCTTCTTCCCTGGGTGCCTTCCCGGCCGCAAGGAGTACATGGCCGTGTTCTGCTTGCCCCGCGCTGGCTTTCTGGGTCGCACTGAAACAGAGAAGCCGGGGGCTTAGAGGAAGACGTTAACTTGTGAGGGCAAAGCGAGGACAGTTGGCAACGGCACGGATCAAATCCAAGAGGGAGCAGGTAGCAGCAGCCTCACTTCTCCTTACCCAGGCGCGGGAAGGTGACTTGAGCAGCGCTGCCTCGCCAAGGCATTCGAGCTGACTGGAGCAGCACGGCCTGCCACACACGTGCAAGCGGCCACACGCTCCGAGAGTCGAACAGAGGACACAGCCATCCCAGGTGCAACAGCGCAAGCAGAGGCCGCCAGCCCCGTGCCCCACCATGCACCCACAGCTCAGAGAGCCAGCGCACCCAGACGACTGGAGTGACCCGGCTTCTCGTCAGTGCCCTCACTCAGCACATGCTCGCGGCAGCTGCGCTCCTCATACTCTCTTCAGAGGGGATATGTGGGTGAAGATCTCCTGCCCCAAAAAAGGCCCTTGCTGTCTGAACCTTCYGCTACAACCTTCTGATGGCCTACAGCAGCCTGGCACACTGGCACATCCTCTACTCTTGAAGAGATCGAGGGCCTTCCGGCCACTCTGCAGCTACAGAGATTTGTTCGCGCTCTCAGGTAATAAAAAGCCCCTCAGCCTGCAGCCCAGACACAGCAGGACTTGGGAGTGGGCAGAGAAAGTCACGTGAGGACATGATTGTATGTTGAAGGCAACGGCGATGCCCCTTCCACAGGCAGCGGAGGCAGCACYGTGCCGGGCTGGGCTGCCTGCTGCCCGCGTGCTCCTCCGCGCCTTGGGCACGGCTGCCTTCCCGGGCGGCACGCACAGCGCGRGGAGCCGGCAGCCCCACCGCCCTGCACAGCGCAGGGAGCAGAGAGCTACTGCAGCGCGGAGCACTTCTCCATGTGCCACACGTGGAAAACACAGGGATTCTATTTGCCAGCATTGGGGCTGCCACGTTCCGTTTTGCAAAAATGCCTGTAAGCCTCGCACAAGCGTTTTAAACTGATGGAAATTCAAGGGTGCTGATGAACTCTCTTGAGCTTCTCCCAGGAGCCCTGCACTGGGGCCGTGCGCTGGGCTCCCTCGCAGGCTGGCTCCGTCCACGTGGCCACAGGCGCGTAAGCAACACGCGAGCCCCAGCACCCTTTCATTTACGGCCTCTAATCCAGCCYTGTGCCATAAATCATCCTGCCAGGCCCCCCTGCAGGAGGAGCGTGTGTCAGGGCCGGGGGACGTCTGTCTGCTGCCACTCCTGCCCGTGTGTCAAGCGGGTGGCATGTGTTGAATGTTTGACAATCCAACATTCTAGCTTATATCCCTCCGGATAAACGCCGTGAGGATTAATGGGACTTCTCTACTGAAACAAAAGCTTTCCACAACGACCTTTCCACACTAATGCTCTTTAAAACCAGGGGTTGCATTTAGTGCTTTATTTTTAGTGACTAACCCTCTTTCGCTATTGTTTGGAAACCTTGGCTCAGCTCCTGACTTGGCCACACAATATGGGCTGAACACACTCCAAATGTGGACATGGATACGCAGTAGAACGACAAGCAGCATAGACAGCCGGAGTATCAGGGAGCATCCCTGGAACTAGAAAAGACTAGGGGAATTGAGACTGACAGAGAGGTATGGAAACCCTGGAAAGAACATGGGAAAAATCTTTGGGTCTCCATCYTCTCAGTCTCTGAATTCCACCATCTGCCCTGGTAAAGACAGTCTAAAGCTAATTTAATGTCAATCAAGGGCATTTTTGACAGAAAGTAAATGCTGCATGTATGTAAGTTCAAGACTGATCTTCTCTGTGCATTAAGCTACTCCAAATGCGAGAGTCAAATTCCCCTTTAAAAAAAAAAAGCGGWTACCCATCCTAGAAAGTGCTCAAGTACTGTATTTTTGGGTGGAAAAACATCCCCTTTGAGTTCAGAAAATGCTGGTTTATTCCATTCAGCTGCCCCGAATGAGTCAGCTGCGTATTTTGAGAGGTCTCTATGCACACAAGGGTGCTGGCAGTCCCGGTCACATTACACCTTGAGCACTGTGCCCTCCCCTGGGAATGGAAAGGCAGAGCATTAGTTCTGCTAACTGCAAATGCCACTTTCCCCAGTCACTAGAAACTCTCCACTTAAGGGGTTATGGGCTCATGGGAAGGGAAAGAGTGAGRAGAGGAGGTCATGGTTACTTCTGGAGGTTTATCTACTAACAGTGCTTYGTTTACCAAAACCCTCTGAACAGGGACAACCAATTAATGCCGTTCCAYAGCCCTTTCCTGCTGTCCCAGCAGCAGCCCCAGGGTAGTGACTGGTCAGTGAGCAGGAGCTGACTGCAGTTTCAATCTTCGCTAGTGCTGTCTCAGTCAYAAAAGAAAAACATGAAGACAGTTCATTCCAGTTACACAGAGATGTATCACACGACCACGGCAAGCCCTTGAGAAATCTCCCACTGATTCAAAGAAAGAACCTTTTTTTTTGTGAGGAAAAGCACAAGCCTGAATGAGGATCAGTACTCTGGACAGAGAAGCAGAGACTTAATATTTTCTGTTACTTTCTAGCATGGTCAAAGGCTTACATTTCAGTCCGGCAACTTCGTAATCTTCCTCCTCTTCTTCCTCCTCCTCAGCATCTTGTTCATCAGAAGCTTCCTCATCTTCYTCAGTTTCCTCTTCATCAGACTCCTCTGCATAGTTCCTAGAGCAAGGCATGGAAACACATATGCTGTACCAGAGCCTGGGGATCAGACGCCCTGGGAGTTTCTCTGTTCTGTCTGCTCAGAGACTTGCTGACCACCTCACTGTAAAATAAACATTGAGTTTCAAGCTGAAGCCATCTACTTTATTCTATGTTGTGGCTACGGCTAAAAGGACACTTCTCACACCATCATCGGGAATATCTAGTTTGAAAATCCCCAACAGCTGAGCTTGCACAGCAGAAGAGCAATTTTTGCCATTGTAGGCCCCCTGGCTATGTGATAATGCTGACTGCTGCACAATAATTCCTCACCGAGAGGAAGCGGTGGTGTTTTAGGGAGGTCTAAAAGGCTTGGCCCGAGGCATTTCAGAAGAGGGATTTCTCTGTTTCTGTAGGAACGCTTCCCCATTCATCCCCTTCCACTGTCATGCTGCTTTGTGCTGTAGGAAACAGAGCTCATTCAGCATTGTTCAGAACTAAGCTTCTACTTATTACCAAGCAGAGCATCAGTTCAGGCTTATGTACAAATGGCAGAAACCACAAAAATTCCCAGCCCAGGACAGTTCCAATTTTCTGCATGGATCTGTTCCCAAATATAACAGAGTGGGGCAAACAAACCCCAAAGCAGCACATATATACAGAAGGGGACAAGGCAAAGTTGTGGCTGTGCCAATCCTCTGTCTTGGAAAGACACAATCTTGAGCCTAAAGGCAATTAGCCGCAGCCCCTACAGCACCAGAGGCAAGAGAGATCCAACGTCAACACTTCTTTTCCTGCCTCAGCTAGGAAGACGAGAGCACGAGGCAGATAGCAAGACAGGTGSGACCCACCTGATGGCTCCCATCCAGGAGCCGGGCAGCTTGCAGGTGCCTCTGCCACATCAAAGGAGCTGTGATCTCCGGCTAGAACAGCTGCGCTAAAGCCCTGTCATTTCTGTGCAAGCCTCATGAACCCATTTAGCCAGTGCCCAGTAACTAATACTTTTAAGGCCACGCACCACCTGCGTATTACAAGCTACTGCACCTCTTATTGTGCTGCCACTCCAGAAGGGAGGATCTGTTGACTGCTTATGCTTCAGATGCCATCTGATATAGCCTCACCTTGCTGCCAGGCAGGTAGATGGAGCACCGAGCCACAATGAGGAGAGGACCTACATTGTCCAGTGGGAGCAGAAAAATGCAGTTTGCATGCATTTAACTTCCAGCCTGCAATTCGCAACACAGTTTAACCCTCTTGCTGTCAAGATTGCAAATGAATGTGTCCGAGTCCTGCTGCAACTTCCATTCCTCCTCAAATCATGGTCTTTCTGTGCCTTTATAAAGGTTCCTGTCTTGTTAAGGTGCCAATGCCTATCAGGTCTGGATAAGTGCCAGAGTGGTTTCACAGCCTGTTTTCAGTTGTAGCAGAGTCAGGACTAAGCAATAGCCTGTAGTAATATCTGTTTTAACCTGAAGGACACAGTGGGAATTTAACTCGGCAAAATACAGCAAGAGCTGCAGTGCTACCAACTCAACTTAGTGCTCGGTCAAAGAAAACAGCAGTTTTCTTTGTGCCCTTAGTGCCCAGCGCTTTGGGTGATGTTTTGTGTGGAGTTTTCACTGCTGCACTGAAGTTTTTTAATTAAAACGTCTGAAGTTGTCATGGGTCAGTACAACACAGGTGTGCTAACTCACAGCCTGAAAAAATTGCCTTTTCTATTGTTCAAGTGCCGTTGACTTAACTTGGCTATTTCGGTTCTGCAAAAGCAGCTCTGTTTAAGGGTTTTTTGTTTCATTTACGAGTGTATGGTGAGAACTCTGCATCTGCAAGAGCTCAGCAGGAACGGAGGGTCACTCACCTGCCCCGYGAGCTGCGTCTGGCAGTGGAAGGCTGGCACGCTGGGCACTGCCATTCGCCATCTGGTATCTCATAGAGTGCCGGTCTCAGACAAAAGAGGTGGAAGGCTTTGTTACACTCGTCACACAGGATCAGCTTGTCATCCTCACCTAAGAGAGGGTAACTTAGTTGTAATTGAGTGTCTCAACCTGAGAAGCAGAAGCTGCTGCAGCGCTGGGGGTCAGGACAAAGAAGAAGATGATGCAAAGTGCCCTCTGATGGCAGGGCCTCTTCCTTCTCAGTCCTACTACGGCAGTAGAAACAAGTGGCATCTTGAAACTCTACCCACAGCAAAATGCCCAATCCCCAAAGAGAAGTCTGTATCTCTGAAGGGTTTACACTGAGGTTCCACTGAGGCTGGATCCCCAAWGAAGTACATGACAGGAGATGCTGCRCAGAAGTAGCGGGAAGCTACAAATGCAGTTCTTCTGATTCTAGCCTCAAGGTGGCCAACCTGCGCAGCATCCCCCTTCTACTCAACGTAGCAAGCCCCCAGAAAACCGGTATGCAGCAGAGCTAGTCCCTCTGTACTGCTCACTGATGCAGGGAGAAAGGGAAACGGTTCTGAGCCAGCTACTTCATCTATTAAAAGTGCAGAGTTTTCCATCGTGTCTCTGACATGCCATTTTGATAGCTAAGTGAAACTACAATCCATTCGTTTCAGCTGAACTGCCCCTTACATTTGCCTCGTTTACTCTCTTACCAGTATACAAGGAAGTTTTTGCATCTCTTTGGAACATCTCTGAGGCTCTACAGTGAGGAAAAATGTTGCACTAATTCACAATTCAACCTCATTTCTTTAAAGAAGTGAACATCATAGTGTTACGGTAGACCGAAGTGGCCCGGTATTCTCCCAAAAGTCTGTCATCATTTCACATTAGCGTTTCTATGAATGGAAAATGAAACAGAAAAACTCCCCACAATAYGAGGAAGGTTGTGCTACCAAGCTCCTCTCTGGGCTTCCATGCAGAAGTAATGACAGAACAATTACTAAAAGCCTGTGGTTTCTTCTACTTGCCCCTCCACCTATAAGCCTCTAAAAACCTTCATCACAGAGTGCRTGCAAAGAAATGGCCTCTTGCTACTGGCTGGTTACTTCCTCCATCCTACCAGAGCAGCAGCACAGGGCACAGTGCCTCTTTCCTCTGCTCTTGGGGAAAGCTTGTTTCTTCCAGCTCACCAAGCAGTTGTGCCTCAAACCGGCATCATCCCACCWTGCTCTCCCCCTTCTGTCACAGGGTATTAACCTCTCCAACTTCTTCTCCATTCCTTTTGTAAGGGATAGGATTAACTCACAAGATTCAGAGACCTCAAGACAACTCCAATTCAAAAATGCATTCAGGAAAGGGATAGTGGCACAAATGTTCCCAGGAGGATTTGAAGATGACTTGTCCAAGTACCCTAAATGCCCAGGGAACAGCACTTCTGCAACGTTTTGCAAGACCATGAAATGCTTTCCTAAGAACAGTTCATTGCAGTCAAGGCCAAACGCTTCTGAGAGATCAGTGCTGACTGTGTAAATACTGATGCTCAGACCTCAAAATAAAGCCAGAACGACAGATTACAAGGCTGTGTTGCCTAAGCAGGACATGAAGAGGTGACAGTGTCCGAGTGTAACCCAGGCACGGGGCAGGAATGCCTACCTTTCTTGCGACACACTTTGCACCTTGCATTCTCTGCCGACATATCCCACTTGATACAGGCATCCAGCATGCCGAGCAGCACATGCATGCGGGAGAAGGTCTGGGCCTCACGGATTGCTGACTTCCACTTCTCCACGGCTGAAGCAACCTGCAGACAGACCTGAGAGCTTACAATGAGGCACACTGATACAGCTCGACACAGTCTGAAGATGCTTTTATATTATTTAGCTGGGCCCTTAACAACCAATACTCAGCTGCTGCACTTCTTTCCTTCTGTGTAGCTCAGACTTTTTTGTGGTTTACCTTATAACCAGCCTCACTGGAATAGACAGCTTGTTCACTGCAGCTCTTTTGCACTTCATGATCAGGCTGAAACAACCAATGAGAACTGCACTACATTCTTTACTCAGCAAGTCTAACCCAAATAGTTATCAGGCTAAGAAAATACAAGGCAGAGATTTAGCACTGCAAAACGCAGGTTGGAAGCGAAGACGCAGCGGACAGCACCACTTGACTGCGGCTGGTTAGAGCAGCCTGTGCTGCCCTCAAGTGGGTACTGCAGAGACACTCCAGCCACGGGCCACGCTCCAAGCCGTTCACCTGGCAAAGGGCAATGGGCATCGGCTGCAACTAGATTTGACAGGCAAAATAGTTCTGAGTCCCAAATACGAAACAAACTTGAAACATTGAGACATGATGACCTCAACGCGTGTGAAATCCCAGAGTGAGCCGCAAGTGAGGTTTAGAAACGGTAAACCCGAGATGCGCAGGAAGGTGGCTGCTGGAAGCCGAACGGAACAAGCTACACATGAAATCTCCAACCCAGCTCCCGAGGTGGATAAACAAAGTCGCGGTGAATCGGAAATGCCTCAGAACAGAGAAGCAATCCGGGGCCACCGCGTGGGCAATGAAAACATTAATCCTTTGCTTTACAACAATGAGGTGATGGCCTAGACATGACAGCGACATAATAGGACTCAAGTGAATGTTCTTCTACCCCAGGAGAGTGAAAAAACAAACAGTGAAGTGTCAGATGGGAAAAAACTCAACTCTGCAGCTGACAGCGATTCGGGAGCCAAACAAAACCCAGGATTTTTGCAGAGTTGCACATTCCCCTCCCACTGAATTTGAGGAATCGCAGTGTATATTAGATGCTTGGAAAAACACACAGTGTGTGCTACATCCCTGTTGTCAACATCCTTGCCGTCGTTGCTTGCGTGGAATCTGCAGCTGGAGACATCTCCAAGGCAAACGGAAACCTGCATTGCATGTTGTGGCAGCTTACATGGTGTTGGGCTATTTTTTTTTTTTGCAAAACCCTGTGGAGGTGCTTCACATCCTGCATAATTGATTTTCCAAGTAATCGTTCCCTTGCTTTTGCTGGTAACATAACTGGATAACCGCTGGGCCAAGATAAATCTGCAAAAGCTGCTGGCAAAGTTTGCTTAGAATATTTTCTTCTCCTCAAGTCTGTGGAATTTAACAGATTTTTAGCCTTGCTGCCCAAGTATCATAAGACTGTGGCATTTTAGTAACATCACTATCAGGGGAATTCAGATTGCCAAGCAGGCAAAACAGGAGATTGAAAGACGCTACTCAAATACTTTTCTGATTGGAGAAGAGCAATCTAGCAGCGAAAATATAACAAAATAAACCCCAGACATACCAAAGGCGTCAACTCCAATGTGACCGAAAATGCCTGCTTTGGTAAGGAGGGACAAAAGTGAGTTAAGAAGCCTCTCCTCTGGGATCCTAAGAGTAAAGAAATCCCTCTGAATCCCTGAAACTAACTGCTAGGCTGTGAAGSCCCCATCTGCAAGCAGGGACCGGCGCAGTCCGGTGCTGGAAGTGCGGCTGGGGCCCGGGGTGTCCTCCCTGACAAACACCTCTGACCAGCAGCACGGATGGACATCTTGCCCACGCGCTTCCCAGGGCAGAGGGCACACAGCTGTACTGGGATATTCCAGAGCTTTAATYCTGCAAGGATGCATGCTCATAAAAGCAGAGGCGAAAGAAGAGCTTTGAGGAGCAGCCAGATGCCAGGCGTGCAATGCAATCCTTTGCCATTCAGCAGCGTGATCCCCAACGATGCAGCTGAGCCAGCAGAAACCCTGAGTATAGACAATTAGGTCAGCCCGTAGGTGCCTACTAAGCCAGAACTTGTTTCTCTCTGGGAGAATGAGACAGAGCTATACTGCAAGACTGCACATTTGCTGTTCTAGTCTGCAAACAAGCTTAGTGTGTTTTTCCAGTGTGGCTATGCTCTATTTTACCTGCTATGCCCTCTCAGTGCATATCTGACTCTAAAAGACTTCATGATTCTTGGCCTAGGCAGGAAATTTAWTTTCAAAAGCCTGTCAGGTTTTCTCATCAGATAAATATATCTAACATTTGGGCTGCTCTTTCAAGRTCATCTGAAAAGATTTCCCCTTTTGGCAAAAAGAAAGTATATCCTAGATAAACTTAAGTTAAAAAAAAAAAAGTATGTGATTGTAAACATTCTTTGAAGTACTGTGCATGTCTAGGAAACTGAGATAAAGGCAGCACTGCACAAAAAATGCTCCAGAAAAATTCTACTGTCCCCAGTGAGTTTTCAGAGGAAGAAAGGAACAAATTAAGGTGTTTCAGCCACAACGAGCACTTTCAACTACATTAAGGTGGCTTGAAAACAGGATGTCTAAATCTTTCATTTCCACCTCTGATGAGATCAAGGTCATTCAACTTCAACACACGCTGCCGTGAAGTATGTTAGACCGAGCTGGCTTTGCTCTAACGAGTGATGCTCTGYAACCATGCCCCTCTGGAGGAGAAACTAATCAAACACTCACCATCAAAGGTGGCTCAATGTTTCAGGCAGATAAAAGTCTAGTTCTGAAATCTAAGATAGCTTTAGTGTTACTAGGGAAGTAACCAGTGCTTAGATCTGGAGTTTGTACTGCTAAATTGCTACCACTTAGTTACTGTAGTAAAGTGGATATTACTTTTCAAGTGTGAACAGCTACACACCTGCAAGACATACTTCTGAAAGCAAGATAAGATCTGGTGTTGTTGCAGATATATGAAATGTGGTGATTCATAGAAATGTGCTTCTGCCCCAGGGGAAAAAAAAGAAAGAAAGAAAGAAAGAAAGAAAGATTTTTATAGCTTTATTTTCTCCTGACAGCTTTCATGATAAGACAACCTCACATTCCAGCTGGACTACAGACCGGAGCATTCAACATCTATTTTTAAAAGAGCTCATAAAATGTAAGTACAGCAGCACAGATAAGGATTCTGAAAATTTCAAGTGCCTCTAATTATCCTGCTAAGATGGCACTGTCAAGCCTAACAAAGCGTTGATGCTCAAATGACAAGGGTCCAGCCTATGTGGATAAGAGCTTAAGCCCCACCCCAGCCATAGCTTAAGCCCTAAACACAAAACMACCCAAACCCACATCAATCAAGCATCTACTCTTTCTTTACAAAGTTGGGAATTTCAAATGCATCTGTTGATCCAATTCTGGTCTTGCTACTTTTACTGAAGTCGGTGGTCAATCAGGGCAGGGCACTTCGAAGGAAAAGGAAAAAAAWTWAAAAAAAATCATATTATGGGTCACTAACATCCTGTTCCACACGGCATACACAAGCCACTCTAAGCATCAATGCTGCTCTTCGGATGAAGCACTGGMGCAACTCAGTGGCCTGCAGGACCCTACCAGAAACCCAAGCTTTGATCTGGGAGGCTCTGTCTGTTCCCCTCTCAAAGCTTTGCTACCGCAGGAGCAAACTGCTCCAACGTTCAGACAAGCTCTACGCAACCCACACTTTAACATCCTCTGTGGCTGGTGCTATCCCAACAATTTCTGTCCTCCAGCACATTGCCTCTCTTTAKCTGAATCTGACTTCCTTACAGTACCCAAAATGTTTACATGTTCCTCTTTTTCTTTATGGATAAAACGCGGTAAGAATAATTTGTCATTTATTCTACTAGCCAGCCTTCTCTCATGGATATATTTTCTTCTGTTAAGCTCTCTAAAAACATTCCCTATAAAAAGCTTTTGTTCAAGTATCCAACTTGTGTAAGGAACTGTGCAAAATTAAATACATCACCTTACTTCCTGTCTAGAGACAAAAATCAACCAAAACTCCATAGCACTATTTTTATTTTGATACCATCTTTATGCTTCAAAATAACTGTAGAACATCTGGTCCCATATCCCCAAACTGACTGCATTCAAAACCTGAAATGGGGAGAAACTATGTAGGATTTAGTACTAGACGCAACATGCCATCCCAGCCCAAAGAACAGTTATAATATAGAGTTAAAATGGAGCTCTGAAGACCAATACCTTAGCTTCTTCTGCCATTTTCTTCTCTTCATCTACCTCCTCAGTCTTGGCAATGCAGTCCTCTCCTTGATGTTTCCTTCTCTTCTGCTTGGGGGCCATGAAGCCTTGCAGAAACTTCTTAATAACACCAGCTTGCAGTGTAACCACACACTCTCCAAAATCCTTCAGGCTCTCCAGCGAGTATATCTGTTAGAAAGAGAATATGACCATGTAACAGCTGAATATTGTCTTTTACTCTGTTTCAGGTAAGTCTGTCCTGGCAGATGGATACTTTTCATGCTTAATGATTATTGATATCCACCATATTCCATGTACAGTTACAGATTCAGCATATTACTGCTGTTTCTGCTAGAGCTAACACGCTGCTGATGATCATGCATAGCACTTAAATGTTAATGTCACTTCAGAAAAACGACAACAAAACCCCAAAAACATGATGTGTTAAACAAAGAAATCCATGATGACCAAGCACTAAGCAAGTCTTCCTTTAGTCTCTTCACTTTTCCTTTGCATCTCTTAAAATGTATGGTCTCACCTACATGTGGAAGTCACTGCGGTGACCGAGATGGAGATTAACAACGCATGGACCACTCCAAAGCAGAAAACACTGCCCTTTGGCAAGGGAAGCATACACTAACCAATGCAGTGTATGCTCTACCTATGCCAGGTTGTTTATCCCCTCAAAGTCATTCAGTGCACCAGGGCTGCTCAGGTGAATTAGGCTGAAGTAGCTAGAACACTGAAAATTCATTCATCAGTTCACTGCACAACAGCTTCCTTGGGCTGACAAAACCAGGAACAGAATAGTCACTAGCTCCTGGAAGTGGGGCACAATCATTACCCCAAGCCTAAGGTGGTTTGAATTTAATGGAAACCCCCAAAATGGAAAAACTGCTGGCTTCAACACAGAAGCTAAATGTAATCTACAAAGAGCTCTGCTAAAGCTCAGTAAAGATGTCTGACAGTAGATGTGGGAAACAGGATGAGCAGAACAGCTAGCTTCAAAATTACAATCCACCTACACCAAAAGGATCCTAATTGAGCAGCTACATAATCTTGAAATACCACTTTGGAAAGAGGACATGCACAACAAAGCTCTACTATTTTCCGGATCGTCTCATTTGAGAAGAACCAAAGACTCAAGAGCGTCCACAAAAGGTATCAACTTGTGTTTTGTCTTTTTGGTACTACTTTGCCTCTTCACTCACTCTGGCTTCAAATTCTGGTGTCACATCAACATATCCCAGCCCTCCTTTCTGCAGCCGGGTTGCAACCTCAATTAGATCACTTCGAAGGTAGTTCAGCAGTTCCTGGTTACCATCACAGGATTTAAGGCCCAGGTTCTGTTTCCGAGCCAAATGGATAGAATGTGTGATGTCCTGATACCTGCAAAATCAAGAACAACCTTTGAACATGTGCGGGCCAGTGCCTTGTATGTTGTGAGGACACTGGGGCAACAACAGCATCCAGTGCGACCTGCATGCTCCAATAGTGCAGAATATTCTTTGTAAATACTCAAGAAAGCACGTGGTATTCCTGCCTCTAGGTATGAAGCAACATTGCCTTTACTTCCAGGTGCAAGGAGGAAAAAAGGACAGAAGCTCTTCACAGTTTAGACCATTACTGATCAAGAACTTAGGAGTTATCATCTAAGACAGTAGATTTCTCATTCTAAACAGCCTCTCCTCTCCGACGCATGCACAAAGCAAAGCATGGAACGCGTGCCCCAGGAATGGAAAGGCTGGCTATGAAGTGGATATACTCGGACTTTGAGAAGGCACATAGAGCGAGGCAACAGAACAACGGGCTCACTTTTTCTCCAGACGCTCCTTTAGCTGACTCTCTCTCACTCCTTTTGGGTGCAGGCATTCCAGCAGCTCATCCAAATCCTTCTGACTGTCACAGAGAAACCTACAAGACAAAACACGCACCAACATCAGCTCAAGTATATCTGTGGCAGGACTTATTTTTCTGCTAAATAGTTCACAAATATTAGTAAGCACGGGTGACAACTAACCGATACTTCAACCCCATGGAACAAGATGAGACACTTCAGTTATGCTAGTATCTGGATTTTGATTAAGACTGGCCTCATTTAAAGATCTCCAAATGCAGCTTAATCCAGGATAGAGAAAATAGAAGCAAAACAAACACTTGAATTTCATCATCTACCCTGGGGATTTTTTAAATTACAGTCATTTTAAGTAATCTGAATATATTTTTTAATGCACTAGGAAAATATTAGCATGTTATGTGCTGCACAGCATGGCAATTCCATCATTCTTTCTGGAGAGCCTTTAACAGTAAGCCCCTAGATTAAAGAAGGATATATCCTGGTTTATTCCATGATTGCTGAAGTTGTAGATTTGAGACTGTGAAGGTTATGATCTCTGCCAGTGCAGAATTTCCCATTTGTAAGAAGCTAGCATTACCTTGAAGCTTAAACGCAGTATGTGAAAATCATATTCATTAGCTTTAAACCTTTCTCCTCAGAAAGCCTTTAACAAGCGCAATGATCACCTGTCATTAGTTGAATCTAAAAGGACCAGACTTTGGAAGACTTCTCCACACAGGCACTACAAGCAATTCCACAGTACAATTCAAAGCAATGAATTGCTGCAGATTTGCAATAGCTTTAAGATGGGAGAGGATCTACAACAGGCACCTGGGTTTGACCAACTCTCCCTGAAAAACCTGGAGTTTGAGGGACTTGGATCTCTTCTACACCCCTCTAAACTCAAATGTGGGACATTAGTTKGATTCAGAGCACCCTGCTGCTCCAAGCAGTGACAGCCTTGTTTTCCAAGCCAGGACCATGTGCTCCCTCCCACCTGAAGGAACCACCTTATGCTTCCAACTAGGATTCTCAACCAGGCTGGGAGCAGGGATGTGATAAAACATTTTAATGGGGGGAGGCAATAGGGTCATTAGCTTGTGGGATTCAGTAATAAGGAGGGGAAAATAAGTGGTGCCATTCAGGTGGTCTGACAGAGTTCATGTGCAGTAAAATACCCCAAGTAATTGGAAAAGAAACCTAGGGGAGAATTGAGACCTTAGTTTCACACCCAGATGGAAGGCTTCAAATTGATCTTATAGTGGGCCCAGAGCTGCCCCCCAGTGCTCCAGGTTTGGCCTCCCCAGAGCTGAGCAGAGGGGCAGGATCCCCTCCCTTGACCTGCTGGCAACGTCCTCCTCATGCAGGCCAGGATCCCATTGGCCTTCTTGGCCACGAGGGCACACTGCTGGCTCATGGTTAACTTGGTGTCCACCAGAACTCCCAGGTCCCTCTCCGTGGAGCTGCTCTCCAGCAGGTCGACCCCTAATCTGTCCTGGTGCCGTGGGTTATTCCTCCCCAGGGGCAGGACCCTGCACTTGCCCTTGTTGAACCTCATGAGGTTCCTCTCTGCCCAGCTCTCCAGCCTGTCCAGGTCCCTCTGGACGGCAGCACAGCCCTCCGGAGTGTCGGCCACTCCACTCAGCTCCACAAACTTGCTCAGGGTGCATTCCGTGCCCTTGTCCAGGTCATTGATGAACAGGTTGAACAGCACCAGGCCCAGCACTGACCCCTGGGGACACCACTGGCCACAGGCCTCCAACTGGACTCGACCCCATTTATCACCACCCTGTGGGCTCTGCCATCCAACCAGCCCTCAATCCACCTCACTGCGCACTCATCCAGACCACACTCCCAGAGCTTTCCTATGAGGATATTATGGGAGACGGTGTCAAAAGCTGTGCTGAAGTCAAGGTAGACAACATTCACGGCTCTCCCTTCATCCAGCCGGCCAGTGATCCCATCATAGAAGGCTATTAGGTTTGTCAGACAGGACTTCCCCTTGGTGAATCCATGCTGACTACTCCTGATCACCTCCTTCTCCTTCCCATGCTGAGAGATGCTCTCTAGGATGAGTTGCTCCATCACCTTTCCAGGGACAGAGGTGAGGCTGATTGACCTCTAGTTGCCCAGCTCCTCCCTCTCGCCCTTTCTGAAGGCTGCAGAGATGCTGGCGCTCTTCCAGTCCTCCGGCATCTCCCCTGCTCTCCAGGACCTCTCCAAGATGATGGAGAGCAGCTAAGCAATAACTCCTGCCATTTCCTTCCCAAGATGTTCTACCATCACTTTGAGGCTACTCTTAATCTCACCCAAGATGGACAACTAGGAAAAAGAAACAGGCAGTAGGAGTTAATACAAATAAATAAGTTCTCTTATGTACCACATGTTAGCACTTTGAGTTATAGCTGAACCAGCTGTGCTATCTGAACAAGAAGGGTACAGATATCTGATGAATTCAGTGTGATCTTTGAGCTCTCCAGTGTGGACAAAGAAAAACTGCAAAAAGCAGCCAGAGAGAAGACTCCTTCATAATTACCTACTGCTCATGGGAGCCCTTGTGACTGGAGACAGATCAATAACAAAGGCCACACAAGAAAATACTGTCAAAGAAACACAAATTTCCTCAGAGAGAAACTCTAGTTACCCTCTATCCTCTGAAATAATATATCTCAAATTGTCCCATTTTTCTTTTTCTTTTTTTTTTTTTTTTCTTCTTGGTGGAAGTTTACCTGTGAATGGCAAGAGCTATCAGACAGGTATTTAACAAACAGGCTCTTTGCATTTCTACAGCTTTAAAGAAAAGTCTTTCAGCGGAGAAGCTTACTCCTTATCTGTAGGGAATGGCTTTAGGAGGCCCATCAGTTTGGACAAAAGTCATGCSGAGAGCACAAAAGAAGACTAAATTGGAAGTGGTTATGCTTGATAAGTGGCCACTATGCCCCTGGCTCACTTTGGGAGCATGAAAGCTCAGATTTTGTCTCAGACTCTTCATTTGCATTGCTTTACCTTGACATCCCAACACCATCGRTTTCCTTGGGAGAGCAATGAACATGGTCACAATATTCTCTTAACAGTAAAAATGAGCAACTGCTGTGCTTGTTAGCAGTCCGCTCCATTTTGAGGCATGCAGGGAAGAAATCAAAGACCCTGCAGAAGAATCACGCCAAGAAAAAAAAAAAAAGTAGAAAAATAAAGTCTGCACAGCACCTTATTTCTCAAAGGCAGAACAGTCACAAAGTGCCATTCCTTAATCTGTCCCTGCAGATTTCAGCATCTGCTGTTGGAGAAGTTTGTGTCAGGCTCTTATCTTTRTGCTTACCAATAAATTTTTGCAGCGATGTCTCTACCTGGTGCTTYGAGCCTGTGCTGCTGTGGAGAAGCACAGCACGGGCAGCAGCGAGCTGCACTTGCCAACTGTGCAGCGTGCAGCACTGCCTCCCTTTATCCTCCCCTATTTAACTGGCTGACCATTTGGTTTTATATCAACAGAAAATGCTCTTTCTTTAGAAGACTTCTCCTTTCCTCGCTAACATTACTGACCTCTATCATCATACTGAACATAAAATGACTTAATTACTTCTGTAATTTGTTTCCTATTTCTTAACCGATTTTTCACTCATGAAATCCTCCCTCTTATCCAAGGTAGTTWAGCTTCTCTCAGGTCCTGTAACAGAGCTAGTAAAACTGATTGTTCCCACAGAATAATTTTTTTTCTGTTTGTTTTGCACTTTGTTTTATTCTCTTTATCTTTTTCATTTAGGCTTGTTAAAAAACCAATCATGGTTTTAAAGTAGGCCTTCCTTCTTTTAACAACTTCTTTACCCTGATATGAATCATATAGACATTGTTTTTATTGCTGTTTTACTTCCACGATTCCTCGAATCCCTCTTTTTTTTTTTTTTCCCTCCTCAAATGTAAGAGGTACTTGCTTTGAACAACTAGCATGGAAACTTCAAAACAATCTCTTTGAAAGCATTTTATGCCTTTGGCTGCACCCTCCAGGGTCCATCCCCTTCTTAGAAATCATCTTAATTTTTTTATGTAGCATGCATTTTTTTTTAAAAAAAAACATGACTGTATCAAATCTGTTGTCTCTTGTGCTCTTGGGAGAACAGTGTATTGAAGCACACAGGGTCACTTCTTACAAAGCAGCTCTTCAATAATAAAATATAATTCAGTGCCAAGAGCGCCCTGGACCTGGTTCAAAGGCTGCTTCTCCTCTGTTGGGTTCTGTGACTAGTTACTCTACAAAGCATTCTTATCTTTTTAACCTTTCTGATCTCTTTGTCTGTCGATAAGAGTTAGCAACTTCACTGAGCTATTCAAATATGGTGTTGTCCCATCCTTGGCATGGAATTTCAAATCACAAGGACTTTGCATTGCTTGTTACCTCAGCTGATTTGGCTTTGCGCTGCTCGCAATTTATAGCATCCTCCACCACTAATAAAAACTCCTGTTTTCCTTGCACAGTTTGTCCTTCTGGTGCACATACTGCCAGCTCTGCTACATAAAGACCAAGTATTAGAAAAGGTAGTTAGAAAGAACAGAGAACTATCTTGCAACTTCCTCCAAGTCCCACTATTTAGCACCCACTTCTTAGAACATCAAATTRCTTGAATTTTGGCTGTGTAACAGGTGTGCAGAGGACTAGCCTGAGATGGAGGTGAGGGCTTGCACGGTGCTATTAGACAGCACGAGGGCAAGCAGAGGAAACTGCTACCTCCCAAGTCCACTGCTGGCAGTGGAAGAGCATGGCTAGAACAAGCCAAAGAATCAGCACTCAATGTGGGTCGCATTAGATGAGTCAAGAAGTGCACAAAATTGAGGGTCTGACATTTCCTGGTTGCAGAAGTAGAAATATTTTTAGTAAAGTAGCTCTGACTTATTATGGCAGCAGTGGAACTATGTTTTGAAACTAAGTTTACAACTGGTGATAATTATTCTAGCACGAGGGCATTGCTGATCACTCCTTACCCTGTACAGCAATGGTCCACATAAAGAAAATTCCCTATAGGAGAGACTCTGATAGGGTCAATCACTGGAGAGAATCATAACCACATTTGCTTGAAGGTACAGAATTTAAATATGATCGATTCAGTTAAAAGATGTGTTGGTGACTACTGCTTGGCAAAAGGGAGGAATTACAGGCACAGCCATCTACCTAGAAGAAAAAAAAATGCTAATTTATGGTGAGTAATTACAGGATTCAACTCCATGGTGTGGTGCTATAGAAGAACAAATGGCCACCACCACAGTCCATTTTGAAATCATAGAATGCCGAAGGTTGGAAGGGACCTCAGAGGTCATCGAGTCCAACCCCCCTGCTCACGCAGGGTCACCTAGAGCACGTGGCACAGGGCTGCATCCAAGMGGGTTTTAAAGATCTCCAAAGAAGGAGACTCCACAACCTCTCTGGGCAGCCTGTTCCAGTGCTTTGTCACCCTCACAGTGAAGAAATGCTTCCTTAAGTTCCTGTGGAACTTCCGATGCTTCCGTTTGAAGCCATTTCCTCTAGTCCTATCGCTGTCCACCACTGAAAAGAGGCCGCCCCCCTCCTCCTCACTGCCTCCCTTGAGGTATTTATACACGCTGATCAGGTCCCCCCTCAGCCTCCTCTTCTCCAGGCTGAACAGGCCCAGCTCCCTCAGCCTTTGTTCATATGGTAGATGTTCCAGGCCCCTGATCATCCTGGTAGCCCTGCGCTGGACTCTCTCCAGCAGCTCCACATCCCTCTAGTACTGGGGAGCCCAGAACTGGACACAGTACTCCAGATGTGGCCTCACCAGGGCTGAGTAGAGGGGGATGATCACTTCCCTCGACCTGCTGGAGACGCTTTTCTTAATGCACCCCAGGATCCTGTTGGCCTTCTTGGCCACCAGGGCACACTGCTGCCTCATGGTCAACTTGTCGTCCACCACGACACCCAGGTCCCTCTCTGCGGGGCTGCTCTCCAGCAGGTCCACCCCTAATCTGTACTGGTGTCCAGGGTTATTCCTCCCCAAGTGCAGGACCCTGCACTTGCCCCTGTTGAACCTCATGAGGTTTCTCGCCGCCCAGTCCTCCAGTCTGTCCAGGTCCCTCTGGATGGCAGCACAGCCCTCAGAGCTATCAGCTGTGGAAGAAAGATGACACTGAGGGACACGTGTGCCTCAGCACAAGGATGGGCAGGGTATAGGCCTGGCTCRAAAGATCTCAGTGAAAGAAACTTCTACTTCATGTGCTCAGGGATCACACATTCCACAACTCCGGTCTCCTGAGAACAATCACGAAAAACTGGGCATTGTTAGCTAGGTCACTGTTGTTGTTGCAGTTGTTTTGTTCGGCAGTTCTTAAAAAAGCCCACAGTAACTAGGAAAGAGTTATCATTTCTTTTTAAGTATAAAAAAACATACCCCAAAGCAGTTTTACTGGGTTAATTTACATTAGCTTTAAATCAGGTTAATTAGGTCGACTAGAACGATTCGACCAACTCTTGAGATTAGCTGCTCTATTATTCCTTCATTCCTAGTATCAATAATAGAGGTCCAGCAGGCTGCTAAATTAAGTCCTGAAAGTGTAATAGGATCCAAGGTGCCCATCAGCTCTCATGACAAATAGAAAGTACATGTTCAAGAGATATCATTTATTGTTCTGTACTGTATCAAATGAAATCTCTATATAGTTTCCTRCACAGTTTCTATGTATAGTGTGTATATTGTGTGCATGTATATAGTTTCTATATAGTTCTTTATGCTTTGAGTGTTTTGCAGCCAGAAAAGCAGTTATTACCACAAGTTCTGTCCTTGTTTAGGCGCGGTGGTCTCTGTGGGGATGTCTGCCACRTGCACAGCCCTATGATGCAGGCTCACTCTGCCGTCGGCGGCTGCGCCCTTCCKCTTATCTGCGGGAGAAAAGCACAAGCTCAGAACGTATTTGCCCTCATTTTCCCCCAATCAGCATTTTGATTTTGCAAAAACAAAACTATCTCCAGTTAAAGTGTTTATAGTCAGCACGTAGTTCAGCAGTCTGTTGAAGAAAACTAATTTAACATTAGTTGGCTAAATGTGGTGTAACTATTTATACAAATACCCAAAAGATAACCAGCCTTTGAAGAAAATATTACTGCATCAGGGAAGTACGGAMACAAGATTAAAGAATTGCTATGATATCAAATACTTAAAATTAATTTTATTCTTTAGCTATATATTGACAAGTGCTGTTAAAAATCCATGCAATGCTTCATGCCTGTCACGCAATTAAGGAAAATACTGTTTAAAGAAAACTATGTCCCTCGTCCTCCACTTCTTAAATGCCTTTCCTGTTACAGGATGTCCTCCAGTTCTTATAGCCCTCACTCAGAAACACTGGTTAGTCCTACAGCAATATTTGGAAGACAGCATCTGGAAGTTGTGCTTTTTTAGAGAAAAACAATTATGCACTATATATATATATATGTGTGTGTATATATGTATGTGTGTGTGCACACCTGTGACTGGACACATATCATTGTGGGCAGAAGGGAAATCAGTGCACCCTAAGAATCTGCAGTCACAACCTCTTTGATGACAACTGTTTTTTTTTTTTTTTTCCCCCAGTTCTGACCAGAGGGAAGGTAAAAGTGAATATTCTTAGTGGAAGCTGGGCCACACATACATATACACATTAAAAAAAAGATTCACTGGGGCAGCGTGGAACAATGAGCTGTTCAGCAAGTCCGCAAGATGCAGGTGAGTGGAACATACACAATGAGTATCACTATTCATTTGTTATTCTTCTCCTACCAAGTGAGGTAATAGAAGTGTTCTGATTTCAAGTGTTCTGATTTAATTCAGACAACCTCTTTCATGCAGTATTGCTGTAGGTGGACTCCACGTGAGCTTATGGTGTTCCAAAAGCAGCAAAGGAAGAGCAATGAAATTGCAATTTTAATCCAATTGCAGCACACTTCTGTAACATGAAAGCATTACATTTGCCTCCCCCGTGGGAGGATTTGAAACCTCGAAGGCAACAATAACATGGTTACTTCACAGCTGACATCACCCTGACTGTTTTAAAGTGAGAAACAGTCTTATTCCATGTCCCTGATGTATCTCAAGGTCTGCAGCAGCAAGGTCATCAAGAGCATCACACTTTCCTGTGCACAGGCTGCCTGAGTTGAGAGCARACTCAGAGTGGAGACCCACAGCAAGACATTCAGACTAAGCCGTTCTCTCTCCCGCATTCATGAGGCCAGCCTAACAGCCAAACAGCAAAGAAAGCCCACAAACAAGCTAGCAGATCATACCTACTGGGCTGTAGTCCTTTTTTGAATCCTCCTTTTTCTGATGGGGAAGGACAAATCTGTAGTCTATACTGTCATGTACCCAGCCTTTTTCAATGAATAATCCAGGAACTTCATCTGAAAACAGCCAATATCTGTAAAGAACACATATAAATTAATGGGTATCTGTCTCCACTTCTCACTACAGTCACATGCCATTCATCTTTATTTGCATAAGGGATATATATGGGGGGAAGAATCTGTGGGATTGACTCAAAATTTATATCGTTAGTAGAACGGCGATTTAGACACAGGAAAGGTTTTCATTATAATCCATTCAAAGAGCATTCTTACACAACAAACAYGAAGAGCAAAGTAGATTCTTGACTAGGGATGCAAACACTTGAAGCTCCACTGGATAGCAGATATCGACCTCCAAGGCAAGGCCAGAAAAATCTGGCAAAACAACGAGGGGTTATTATGCTCTAATAACATACTCCCAAAATACTCTAWCAAAATGCCCTCCTCTGCAGCTGAAAGTTGACAGGGAGTCTCCAGTCACCTTCAGAATAAATACTCCCTAGTTGCTCCTGTCTGTGAAAGGTCAATACGAGAAGGGAGACCCCGGGGCAGGGGATGATGCCCTTTCCTACCTGTTGTGGTTTCGATCTGTGCCAATCGGGGTCCTGCGCATCACCAGCTTTGCTTTGGCAATTCCATCCTGGAAGGTCTTCTCAGCTGCAGCCTTATGCCTCCGGATTCTTTCTTCCTCTGCTTCTTTCTCCATCTTTACTGTTGGAATTAGCACAGAGACGAGTCAGTCCTCTTTTATTGTATCTAGATAACCATATCCTCCTTTATTTGACCAGGAGGAGGGTGGGGAAGTTGGAAATGGAATAATTTATTAATGACAGGGTTAATATTTTAGTATAGCCATCCACCTTTTACCTCATCTTCCACCCCTTGATTCCAGAAAAACAAAAACAAACAAGCCATCAAAGTGAGGGGCAAAAAAGAAAAAAAGTCAAGTCACAAGAATGAACTAGGAAAAGGGGAAAGCTTGGATGACTATGGACTTTAGGAATTTTTCCTCATTATATATCAATGAAACAGTACCTATTGTTTTTCTRTCCCTTATAGTACAGTCGAAGGTCTCTCTTGAAGTAGAGCACAACGTACCACAAGGACGGCTAAAACATTGCGAACASTCCAGATATGACAGCATGGAAGGGAGCACGGATAATGGGTGCCTGCAATTCCACGGGAGCAGCTGTGGGGAATTCTCTTCCCAGAAGCTTACATCCCAAGTGAATCAAGCAGGGGCACACTGGTGAACTGTGCCAGCTTCTGGGCACTAGCACCTCACTAACTACTAACAAAGAACAAGTCACGTATCCCGACTCCCTGTGGATCCCCACCACGGTGCCGGGGCAGGTAACGGCCGTGGGCCCAGGTCACACGCTGGCCGCTGTCCAAAGCGGGAGGCCAACTCGTGCTAGGACTTCTCCCAAGGCTCATACCTGCTCTTTCTCTTGCAGAGATTTTCTGTATCTAAATAGGTTTGATAAGAGCTGACTAGTAAATACCCAGTAAGCCTATGAAGTCCTGCCAATGTAGCCACTCCTGACTGATGGGAAGGGAAACGCTGAGAGACAACCCTTGCATTTGTCACACCAACTCCATATACCAACTTTTGGGTAATACCACAGCAGCAGAGCGGCGCGGGAGCACCGTTGTGCTACGCTGCACCAGGAGGAGGTCTGCGAGCAGCTGCCAAGCCTGTGTTTGTAAGTGCCAGCTCCTCCCTGAAACTACAGGCAGCGACAGCCATTCCCACAGSGCAGACGCCTTCCAGCCCGACCCCGGAGCACCGCAGACTGCGGCAGGAGACCCATCCTGCAGCACGCGCTGCCACCACCGCTCGGGAAAGGGAGCGGAGATGATTTCCCAGGGATTGCTCTTTTTGGCTCCTTCACAAGACTTGCTAAGGACACCCCATTTCCTTACTCATACCCCCKTTAYTTAATTTTGTGGKKTTTTTTTTTGTGTTTTATTTTAGTGGTTTTATTTGGTGGCAGTTTCAGCTGTGATATGTTTAAGTGTATATTTATATGTATATTTATGTTATGTACATATGTTTATATGTATATTTAAATCCACTTTTAGGCTGGCCAAAGAGATCCCCTCTTCCACAGGGAGCCAAATGACATAACAAGGACCTCCTAGCCGACGGCTCACAACAGCTCCAACCTCAAACAGATCCCGCATGAAGAGAAGACAAGGAGTTGATTTGAAAACAGGGGAGAGAAAAAAAAAAGAGAGAGAAAAAGGAAAAAAAAACCCACACATTCAGATGCCCATTTTTCACCTTCATTRTTACTGTGACCTACGTCACAGCTACTGAAAACTAAGTCTCCAGAAGCAGAGCCTGGCGCTGACAGAATTGCTGCAGAGTGGTTATGAACAGGCAGGGCAAAGCTAGCCAAGTTTTATACACTCACACTTTTAGGGAGGATTGAAGCAAAAGGAATTTAGCGAGCTTCCTAGGCAGATAACCCCCAACAACCTTTTCACAGGCAGTGCAAAGACAGATGCACAACAGCCCTTGGYTTGTTGCTCTATGGATACCTAAACTAACTGGAGCTACAATATGCCAGTATCTTTTCACACGGAATGGCAAGGTGGGAGAAATAGTGCAAAAACATACTTTGCAGCTTAATTTGGACCCAGAAGATCACAGACTTCACCTATATGAGCATCAACTGCCTTGGGGAAGTAATCAGCACTAGTACTCTGGAAGCAGTACTAGCAAGGCACACTTCAGTTTCACAGCAAAAAAAGATCTTGAAGAAATCCACCATCTAGCGAGAGTATTTAAACTAATTCCAATTACATTCTAAACTTGCATCTCTCATTTTCATGCTTTTCTTCCTAAGTTTTCCAGTTCTGTAAACAAGTATCCAATTTTTCAAGTATCTGTCCCCTCCCACATTAAAGACAGCTGATGATGAGGAGTACTTGGCGCTTCTCAGACACCCTTTCTCAGCAGCTTCCCTCCAAGAGCCAGGAATCCAACCAGAACCAGCTGCACCCCCAACAAACGCTCGAACGCCTGTGGCACGAGACACAGGTACCTTTTCCAAATGAAGGGAAGAGCAGAAACTGCAATTTTCTCATGCCAGAAAATTGTTCAGTCAAGATGAGAACAACAAGAGTTTCTCCCTGCCTGTCACCCTCATTTGTGCCTGCAGGCTACTCTTAGTTGCTACTCTTCTCTCTAGCAGGCCTCCTTTAGGCATATAAACTTCCACTTCTCCATCTTCTTCCAGCAGAAATTAGTTAGGAAATATCCTATTGCTTCATGGAGTATCTGATAAGAAAAGAACAATTAGTCGGTGTCACAATGACATGGAAAGGGAAGCAGTGAGGCTTTTACTGCCAGGAAAACAAGAGATACCAGCTTGCTGTACTGATGTGTCACTAGTATTCACTACAAAGAAGTCAGGAAAGACAAAATCCCACATTTTCTGAGTAACTTGGAAGAATTGGTTGTGACCTTTACAGGCTTAACTGAAGAGGGTTGTCACTGCTCCGGCAGCATCAGGAACAGCAACCTAGATATATCATAGATATATCTATGTCTATAGATATATAGATATCTATATAGAGAAATATCTCTATATATGTCTATGATACATACATATATCTATCAATGACATAGATATAATCTATATCTCGCACACCCATATATGTATACTGGTATATGCACATACACCYCCCCAGCTGAACCACGACAGAATCAGTGTTTTATCAGCAACTGCTCTTTTACTCCCCTGGAAATATTAACGCTATCCAAAACAAATGCAACAAAAATGACCTGAAAGCCTGTGCAGAGAAGAAGGGCCACAAAGTCCAGTTGGAGGCCTGTGGCCAGTGGTGTCCCC